TAGAGTCCCAGTTCAAGAAGGGCTACTTCAAGAGAGAATGAACTAAGACAAGGAATTTCTGGTATTCATGCTTGTAACCGACAGGGCAGAAAAATGGTTTTTGGCCTTTCGCCATAGGGGCAGCTTTACACATTTAAGCTCAATATTTCGTAAACACGTTCTTTTGGAGCCAAATAGCAAAATATCAAATGCGACTTAACACCACTTACTTACTGGGACCTCGGGAAAGCATTATGTTTTGTGGTCCCTCGACCGTCGGTCCCAGTAAATAAGTGCTTTATTATCATACCAAGTGTTAATGAGAACAAAACAAAAATGGAGAACTGAATAAGATTTTTCATGTTTTTAATACACAACTTGTGCGTAGCCGTAGTCAAAGCAAAATATGTGTCAAAAGTTATTTTTCAGGAAAATTAAAGGTGATATTACAATTATTGAAAGCACCATAGGAAAGGTCAACATTTCTTAGCGAAGTAGAAGACGTGTTCGTTTGTGTTGCTAAAGATCCCAAAGGTAAAACGGGCGAACCATGCAACGAAGCTCTCGGCAAAGTTGGAAATTACTGAAAGCACTATAGGAAAAGTTAACATTTCTTAGCAAAGTAGAAGACGTGTTTTTGTGATGCTAAAGATCCTAAAGGTAAAACGGGCGAACCAGGCAACGAAGCTCTCGGCAAAGTTGCAGAGTTCGATTTATTAGCAATGCTACAGCTTCATTATACTGACTGCTAGACAGCTCTAACTTTGAAGAAGTTATTGTACTGGAGCAAAAAGATTCTTTTGTCGATGTAGAGTTCTTGTATTCTGGCAACTTGGATATTTCCGCCTCTCCGCGGCAAGAAAATCGGGAAGACTCCATGTTTAATCTATGTTTCGTGAAAGAAAGCGTGTGAATGAATCTTACAAACGCGCACTCAAATGTGTTGCTTTCTGGTTTCCGGTTTTTATTTATTTCCAATCACGTGACTTCCGTTTTTGTTATTCCCGGTCCATAACATAATATTATTTCTCAATTGACACGGTTTTCTTTGTTATTCACAAGGCTTTATTTTTGTTATAACTCTCRTTATRRRTGCGAGGTCAATATATAGTTATTAACCCAGTTAATAACTATATTTATTATATGGCAAGGTAATTTCGCGCGCTATGATTGGTCAATTTGCGGTCCATAACTTACGGTACGGACCGAAAAATGAAATGGTTCACTGAGTGTACGTACTTAATAGTGTTTAAAAAACGAGTAGGAGTGTTTTATCAGGTATAAAAGCACGAGGCGTAGCCGAGTGCTTTTATACCTGATAAAACACGATCTACGAGTTTTTTGAACTGCTTAAAACACTCATGAAACATTTATAAGATTTTGGTTCAACTGGAGCCACCATACACGTCACGAACATGGATTTTTATACTTCGATAGAGATTTGACGTCACTCTTTATATAAAGACACATGTGTCTTTATATAAAATCACTTGAATACTAATGAAGAGGACTTTATCGGGTATAAAGGTTCATGCACGTGACGTGTATGGTGGCTCCAATTGGACCATAAGCTTATGAATTATTAATGAGTGTTTTAATGATCTTTTAAAACATTCAMATCTTTATCAAAAAAATATATTTCTGGATAAAAATCGTCGGAAARCCTTCAATAAATAATTAAAGATAACTGAAATGCACTGGCATTTAATGTAAAACTTATCAAACAAGCCACAACTCTTTCATACAAGCGAAACTCTTTCGTTCAAGGCTCTACAAGGCACTAGTTGAGCGATTTTGTACGACTAGAAAAAACTAGAAAAACTAACTATGCTAAAGCTAAAACTATGTCAAACTACGAACTAAAGAGTGGTGATTAGCAGCTAATTCAGTAAATGAAATAAAGATAGGTTTACAAGCAGAATTAACGTAAATTTGTTATTTCATTAACCTCGTTTGCTCGGTCCGTACCAAAGGAGGATGTTTCACTAGCATGCTTTGCGCACCGTGCTTATTATGCATCTGTCTTTAGCATTTGTTTGAAAGATTTCCTCTCGACGGCGATTTTCCTCGATTATTTCGCCAAACAAAAACAACAGCCGTTTGCTTATTAAAGATTTTCTGCATCCGTACAGATAAACAATAGAAAGTCTGGACATTTCTCTGGGACCAAGTTCGGTATTTTTGTAATTTTTGCCATAGGAAAAATCAAAATATGCCGTATCAATGAATGGATAGAAAAAGATAAAAATTGTTTTGACAAGCGAAGTCTTTGTAGGCTTTGAATTATGTGGGAATAAGTCGAAATTAAACGAAGAAAATTTAAAAAAGGACACACCTACACAAAGTATAGCCTTCATACTATGCTATATCCCTTAAGTCTCCTCAAGTCTCTACGTTTGAGTGAGATACGGCCATTACAATTTCCACTAAAATTCGCCATGTATTTCGCTTCGTCTTGTCTTACGTCCTTGATTTGACGTGACCTGCTAGATTACCAAAAATTGTACTTTTGAGTATCTTCAGACAAATCTGATAATCTTGATTTTAAAATTCATATAATAACAACAATGTAAAATGTTTTATTCCTTATTTTAAGTCAATCGAAGGTAGTTTTATTAAAAAGGAAAAAGAGTTAAGCTTATATTAATTCACAGTACGTGTCACAAGCCCAACAAACAATTATAGAATTTCCTTAATCTAACAAACTATAAACGAATAAATAGTCAAACCACTAGAAACTAATTTTATTCAACTCAAGAAAGCCAAACTTATCGTTCCACAGTGCAGATAGTGTAATTTTCTTTAAGAACTCAAATTTACAAAAAGCTTAAAAGTTCAAATACAAAGGCAAGACATTCGAAGAAAATACTCAATCGAAGAAAGTAAATTGTATATTTTTCTCAAGGGTAGGTAAACAACAACAAACTTAACACATGGCTTTTGTATATTACCTCGAAAAACAGCTGCTAGATAAAGCTTTATCCACTAGCAATTTTCTTCCGGAAAATCGACTTTGTCTTTGTTCAAAACGATGCAAGTCTTCTTTCTTCAATGAAAATGCCTGGGAAGATGGCTGATAACTGTCACAAATTTAAGACAAGTAATACCAGCAAATTCGGTATAATTGATCCTTTTTGACAATACAGTAGATAAAGAGAAGATCCGAAGTGGAAAAGGGTTCACGATTTTCCTCTATAATCTCCATATGTCATGTTTCTGCATTGACATCAAAGCGAAAATGAGTAGATCACGTGACTTTTCAGAGTGATAATATAGTTGGTCGAGGCGCGCAAAGCATGCTAGGTAAACATCCTCCTTTGTCCGTACCGTAAGTTATGGATCCTCGTTTTTTCCACTTTTTTATGGCCCGCGCGCTACGCGCTTGGGCCATAAGGCAGTAGAAAAAACTCGGTCCATAACTTACGGTACGGACCTCGCACTCGGTTAATAAGAGCTATATAGACCGTTCGCATTTATAATGAGCAACATTTGATAGAAAACCTCAATTGATAAATAAAATACTTAATTACCGAGAACGACCCTCGGGATGTATATGGCTTATTGCCTCCGTTCTCGGTAATTAACTCTTACTTCCCCTCCCAGAATGGTCGCCAGGAAACAGTCGAATTTCTTCACGTTAACGTGACACACTCTCGACCAATAGAAATTGAGGAAAATTGAACTTTGACACTTGGTATATAATAACAAAATTTATTGCATGCGTATTTGAGATATAAAGCCGTGTACTTTGGGAGAGGTGATAATTTGATCAGCAGAAAAACTTACATTTTCCGGAATACTAATGAGTAGATTTACTCTAATTCGACAAAATTTCGTCACAGGTTTCGAGCAGCAGTGACACAAATGAAACCCTAAAAATTTGGAGTATCAAACTCAGTTAAATAGAAAAATCGTGAAAGTAGCGGGCTTGTCGTTTTTCTGCCCTGCCCTTGTTACCATCATAGGCATCGTTTGATGCTATTTTTAGAATCACATTTGTTTTTGTGCACGCGCTCTACTCTGTTTGCTTAGAAATCTTTGCCGATGTTTCATTTTTCAGTAACACCAAAGGCCATTCATGGAAAGTTCTCACTTGTGGCAGGATAGGAAGAAGAGCTTTTATCAAATCCCTTTGTAGTGTACGCCTTTTCTATAGAGCGGCCACAAGATAAAACATTTTCAATCTCTCTAATTAGCCTGTGACAAGGGAGACAAAACGACAACTCCCTCTATCACAATGTAAAATAAAATATTCATTTACTATTTCTTTATTTTTTACTCTCTCCTAAGCCCCAAACTTCTTCATTTCCAACCAGGTAAACAGTCTGCAAAACAGTATTTACTAGATTCATAAGTCCTTATCATTGAAGTTAGACCATTAACCGGGCACTTGATCTATCTTTCTCATTTGTTAAACCTTTTTCAAGTCCAAGGGTAGAAATTACAATGTAGTACTACGCCAATACATGTGTATGTGACAAAATACCCCAGCACCAAGGAATCCTTTGTATATGATACTTGGGCCTCCATGGAAGGTTTGTTAACAATGAAGTGAGATGTATACCAATAAATGAAAGGAGAAGATGAAGCAATCAATCGTGTCAGCACCTGAAATGATTCATAAGACAAAAATTGTTTAACTTTTTAAATAACAAGTAACTTTGACCTTTATTACATCTACCCTACCACTTTCACCATGCTTGGTGTAGGGCAGCGACAATGCTATGAACTTGTGAACATGTTTATTATATGTTCACCTTGCTACGTACATTCACTCTGATTGGTTCAAAGCTGTGCTCCCTCACATAATAGAGCATGGTGCTGATGTTACTGCGTGTGGGAGTGGTCAGCAGCCATCTTTGCCAAGAACTCAAAGAAAACTAAATTATGAACTTAAGATTTTTTTTTGTTCTTGGCAATAAAGCAAATAGAACAGCTTCTTTAACTACAACAACAACAATAACAATGATAATAATAGTAATAATGATGATAATAATAATAATAATAATATCTTGTGGGTGACAAGAGCTGATCCATCGCTCTTCAGATGCAGAAGTCTAATATACTGTAACAAGTTTGCTTCACATTGCACAAACTGTTATGATTTTAACTGAACATTAGATACAGTACATAGTAATAATATTATAGTAAACTAGCTGTTCTTGATAAGTTGCCATAGCAACAACCTAGGTTCCAGGCCTAACATTCCTAAGATCCAAGTTTTTGACATTTTCATCGTTATGAGACATAGCATCAAATGAGTCTAGATTATAATATTTGTTACGGTCATAGACACAAATTTAGTCAAACAATTTTTTGTCCAAGCAATAATTGCTGAAAAGCCAAAATTATTGTTAGAGTACTGGGCACCAGTGAGTTTCCAAATCTATGTTGAAGCAAACTGTGAGTTGAAAATAAGAATAAACTATAAAACTTGAATATTATATCACTTGAACCAAAAATACTAACAAAAAATGCCAGTTTTCTTCTTTCAAAAAGTACTTTAAAATGTATTTAAATTCATTTGCAAAAATTGGAGACATAAATAAGAAGTGCCGAAAGCATTCAAGAAGATTCAAGAATTGAGATGTTAGAACTTTTCTGTGATTCTGTTTGTGATTTCATCCTGACAGTGTACTAATCTATTGAAGAAATAAAAAGCGTACAATGTGCCAAGATAGCATGAGGGGGTTTGTGGAACACGGGAGGAGTTTTAGGAGAAGTGAGAAGCCAAATACTGTCAGTTTTGTGGAAAACCAAATTTAAGTATGCAGCTCACAACTACAGAGTTCACGGATATTAAAAACCTTAGTAACGGAGTGGTATAGGTGCAGTGTGTGAGTGACAATGGGCCAACTTGGTAAACCAGTATGTACATATGCTGTATACCACTTTAAGAAAAAAAAAWTTTTTTTTCCTAGCAATAACAAGTTTTTTTACTAAGTGTATGAGAATTTAATATGAAATATATATTTGTACTGCGGTTGTAATGTATCAAATTGAGCTTCACAGTAAATGAAGCAACTTATGCAGCTGAAAATTGGATTTGAACCTGTGCCCTGGCGGTTCCGGTGCCATGCTCTAACCACCGAGCTACCAAGGATCATGTGAGACTTCAAGGACACATTAGGTGGATAGGAAAGATATATATGTGTATAGGAATATTACATTACTAACCTGAACATGAATAGAAGTTAGTCCAAAAAGTGTTAGAAAAATCAGGTGAGCAATGTAGACAAAAACATCTGCAGAATGGAATCCCCTGAAAAATAAATGACTGCTATTAATAATTGGAATTTAGTCGATGTACAGTAGATACTACTGAGGTAAGAGAAGAGCAAATGCGTGCTTCATGCACCGCCCTTGATTCTCTTGGATATTGATGACATGCCAAGTGATTAACAACAGACAATCTATGTAATGTAAACAATGAAAGCTTAGACAATGTATAATACCATCACAGGGTTGCCAACTCTCCTGGATTATCCAGAAGTCTCAAGAATTTTGGACCTCATCTCCTAGTCTTCCAGTTAGTGCCCCAAATTTCCTGGACAATTATTGAAGTTTTTTGTGGGGTCTACAATCTTTGAACCAGAAAATCTTGAATCCTGCATGGATCCTCTCGTGGTAATATTACAGTATCAAAAACCRGGGCATAATTAGGATTGATGATCTACTTGACTCTTCAGATCATTGTTTTGAATTAAAAGATTTTAAACTGGATATGACGGATATGGAATGGTGGGATCTGATGACCGTGATAAATGCAATACCCCAGAAATGGAAAAAAATTATAAAAAAACTTAAAAAAATATTGCTCAAATTAATCCACTCGACTACAGCTTAACTATCCAATTGGATAATGTAAAAGTAAAACTTTCAACTATAAGTCAAAAAAGGTTAATGCTCAATTAAGATATCGTGCATCCAAGTAGTGCCCACAGCACAGACCAGATTTAAAGAACAATTTCCCTTTTACTCATTTGATTGGCAAAAAATTTACCTTCTTCCTTATAAGGTTGCTTTGGATTCAAAACCTAGAGAATATCAATACAAATTTCTGAACAGATTGGTTTACACGAATAAAACCCCTTYTAAAATGGACATTGTGCACAGTACACTCTGTTCGTTTTGTGTTGAGGAGGAAGAATCCCTAGAGCATTTCTTTTACAATTGCAAATATACAAAATCCTTTTGGGAATCAGTGCATCAATTATTCTTACTTAGCTCAGAGATAGATATTCCTTTTTCAAAAATTGAAGATCAAAAAAAATTTTCGCTAGTAAATCACATTATATTGTTAGGTAAACAGTATTTGTATTCTTGTAAATATCAAAAGTACAATCTGAAGCCTGCATTAAAACCTTTCATTAATAGATTGAMACTACTTCATAAGATTGAATATATTATAGCAAAAAACAAAGACAAAATTTCTATAACAAATGGAATAAAATACTGAAAGTAATTTAGTATACAAATAAAAAATTTGCTGGTCTTCGTATATAAAATCAAGGGAAATTCAGCAATTTGTATAGGAAATTGCATGATCTCAAGTACAATTTGGAAATTAATAGACACGAGTAATGTTTTGAAAGTTCTTGTAATTGCATGAGCCTTTAGGCGAGTACAATTAAAGAACTTTCAAAACATTACGAGTGTCTATTAATTCCAAATTGTACAAGAAGATTGTGCGATTTTTTGTTTATAGTTCACTCAACAAAATTTCAGTAAAAAATGCGAAGCGACGCCGTTCATCTTTGTCTATTTGGCGGCCGATTTCCAATCCATCGTGCAACTGAAATGCATAAAAAAGATTAGTTCTTATGGCTTTAAAATTTTATTTATGCTTTTTAAGTACAAAATSATAGAAAATAATTGTCTTGATATTGTTTTGGCCGTGTTGCCATAGCGACTTAATTCGATACTCCTACGGAGTACAATTAACGCTATAATTGTACTCCGCTCGACCAATCA